TGGGAGTTCTCTCGTTCTGACTCGGTCGAGTCAACACTTGACTCTGGCCGAGTCAAAACTCTGGTATACACTTTTTGGCCACGAGATCTAGGGTTTCACCCCGTTTCGATGCACCATCAAGCCGTCTTCGACCCCCAAAATCATCCATGCATCAAATAACAATCATAACATCATTAAATATGCGTAGATCAAGCCTATCATGCAATTTTAACCATTAAAATTCATATAGGCATGCGACAAGCACGACGATATACAGAGAACCAGGCTCTGATACCACTGTTGGGTTTCGCTACGGATTCCTAGCATGCGATCATGTCGATCTAGGGTTTGGTTTACTAGGTTTCATGCAGCGGAAGAATAATCTAAACCTAGTCAAACGTCACACGCAACCAAAATCATCCGTAAAACCCCGTTTCATCGTGTATATCACCGTAGGAATCGAATACTTACCTCTTTCCTGAAGATCTGAAAGTAGCAATCGATCCAGGGCCTGTTTTAATCACCAATAGTTGAAAGTACAGCTCCTCTACACGTATCCACACCGACGGGAAGGATTCCAAACGCTTTTGGAACTGATCTGCTAGGATCTGTGAAGTGAATAGGGTTTTCAAGACTTGGGATCGAATCCCTAGAACTAGAACCTCAAAAGAAACGATTTTCTTGTGTTCTAGATCTGTCTTAGGGTTCTGTAAGTTAAATTCTACCCTTAGGAGGCGTCCAACACCTCCTTATAAGTTAGAAACCCTAATCCTTGTGAAAAGAGGCTTTTTCCGAGTATTGACTCGGTCCGAGTCAGAACTCTGACTCGGTCGAGTCAGAACGAATCAGCCCAAGCCCATTGTCAACTCTTGACTCGGCCCATTTAGTATTGACTCGGTCCGAGTCAAAACTTTGACTCGACCGAGTCAAAATATCAGCCAAGCCCAAAACACTTTCTGGACTTCGACCCGCATGGAACTGACTCGGTCCGAGTCAGAATGCTGAAAACGTCCCGACACTCTGATTTGATCCGAAAACGGTTTTTCCGACCAAATCCAAGTCTTCCTTTCCGAAACTTCACATATAAGTCCATCTCTAATGGTGTGTGACCCTGTAGGCCCATTCGCAGTGGTAGCAGCCTCGAGAACCATTCCCGATCTACAAATCATGGTTAGCCTCTAGCAAGACGCCCACTACAAAAAAAACCTCAAATTCCAACCGGCAAATCCGTTGGAAAGGGCCGAAAATCCGTTGGAATTCAACTTTTCCAACGGATTTCCAACGGATATATCCGTTGGAATATCGTCGTTAGAAATCGGTGTCCGTTGGAATTCCGTGGCAAATTCCAAACGGAATTCCAACGCCCTCATCCGTTGGAATATTTCAACGGATTTCCAACGGTTTTTCCGTGGTATATTTTCAACGGAATTCCAACGGATTTGTTCGTCGGGATATATCAACGGAAATTCCAACGGAGATCCGTGGCTATTTTTCGACGGGACCGTTAGAATATCCGTTAGAAATTTTCCAACGGATTTACAACGGTATTTTGCCACGGATATCCGTTAGAATATCCGTTGGAAACGCCGTCGAAATGTTACAACGGTATTTACAACGGAAGTCCGTTGGAATTT